TATCCTATGATCCAGTAATTCCACTCCTGGGTATTTACCCAAAAGAATTGAAAGCAAAGTCTCAAGGAGGTTTTGTGCGGCCGTGTTGAAAGCAGCATTATTCACAGTAGCCAAAAGGCAGAAGCAACTCCAAAAAAACGAATGGATAAACAAAATGTGGTATATTCACAACAATGGAATATTATTCTTCAAACTCTATCTATTTGTTTCTTTTTGAGACACGATTTTGCTCTGTCACCCAAGCTAGAGTGCACTGGCGTGATCACAGCTCACTGCAGCCTCAAACTCCCGGGCTCAAGCGATCCTCGTTCCTGAGCCTCCCAAGTAGGTGTGACTGCGAGTACACGTCTGATTTTTTTTTTTCCCCCTAGAGATGTCTGGCCAAGCCTACCTAAATGTGCTCAGAACACTTGGATTAGCATACAGGTAGGCAAAATCATCTAATGCAAAGCCCATTTTATAATAAGGTGTTGAGGCTGGGCAGGGTGGCTTAAGCCTATAGTCCCAGCTACTCGGGAGGCCCAGGCAGGAGGACCACTTGAGGTCAGGATTTTGAGGCCAGCCTGGGCAACCTAACCCTGTGTCAAAAATTAAGTAAACAGGCTGGCTGTGTGGCTCACGCCTGTAATCCTAGCACTCTGGGAGGCCGAGGCAGGAGGATCGCTTGAGCTCAAGAGTTCAAGACCAGCCTGAGCCAGAGTGAGACTCCGTCTCTTCTAAAAATAGAAAAATTAGCCGGGCGTTATGTCGCTCACCTGTAGTCCCAGCTACTCGGGAGGCTGAGGCAGGAGGATGGCTTGGAGCCCAGGAGTCTGAGGTTGTAGTGAGCTAGGCTGACGCCACGGCACTCTAGCAAGGGCGACAGAGACTCTGTCTCAATAAATAAATAAATGGTTAACTATCTCATGTGATGTATTGAATACTGTACCGAAACGGAAAAACAGCATGGTTGTTTGAGTACTTAAAGCATGGCTTGCGCTGAATGTGGGTCACTTTCACACCATCACAAATTCGGAACATCGTAGGTCAGAGGCCGTCTGCACTTACAGGAGATCCCTGGAGCAGTCGGATTCACACAGAGACAGGAAGCAGCGCGGTGTCGCCAGGGGCTGGGGGGGGTTGGGACATGGGGAATCCGTGTTCCATGGGGACAGAGTTTCGGTTTTGCAAGATGAAAGAGTTGTGGAGTCGGATAGTGGTGGCAGCTGCCCAACAAGGTGAATGCCGTTAATGCCACTGAGCTGTGCGCTCGAAAATGGTTTAAGACGGTACATTTTATGTCGTGTGTTTCATCACAGGTTTTCTTTTCTTAAGTGGCAAAAAAGAACCTTTCCCCCAATCCGAGCCCAAGGAAATTACTGAGTGTGACTGCTGCAGCTAAAATTAGCCTGGAACTGAGAGCCAGCCGTCCGTGTCCTTACACCTACACGGGCACGGCAGGGCCACCATGTCCCGCCAATCACCTCCCCGCTGGCCACTGGAGGGGGAGGGGCCCAGAATAGGCTAGGAGGCTATTTTGGTGCAATCTGTTTTCTCAGAAAACGAGATCTCAGAACGCTCGCGCTGGAAGGCGGGGAGCTGACTCACCGCCAGCACCCACCCGGTGCTAGATAAACCCAGGCAGAGTCTGCCCAGGCATTTTCAGAGAGCTGGCTTTTGTCATCCCCACTCCAGACCCCATCCCGTGCCAAGGGCTTTCTAGCTAACTCCTCCTCGCTGCCCGAAGAGGAAACCGAGGCACAAAGAAGAGGAGTTGCTTGCCCAACACCACACATCTCGGAGGTTTGAAAAGCCAGGATTTGAAAGAATTCGGGAAACCTCAGAGGCTGGCCTCTCTTGTCTTCTTTTTCCTTTTCTTTTTAGATGAGAGTAGAGCGTAAGCATGCAATTCTGCAAGTTCCGACAAACACGTACAGTTGTGTAGCTACAGCCACAATCAAAAGACAGAACAGGGCCGGGCGAGGTGGCTCACGCCTGTAATCCCAGCGCTCAGGGAGGCTGAGGCGGGAGGATCGCTTGAGGCCAGGAGTTGGAGACCAGCCTGAGGAACAGTGAGACCCGGTCTCTACAAAAAATAGAAACATTAGCCAGGCATGGTGGGGCATGCCTGTAGTCCCAGCTACTCAGGAGGCTGAGACAGGAGGATCACTTGAGCCCAGGAGTTTGAGGCTGCAGTGAGCTGCGAGGACGCCACTGCACTCCACCCACGCAACAGGGCGAGAGACTTTGTCTCAGGGCGGAAAAAAAAGGTATGCATAAGTCTGCTAGGGCTGCCATGACGAAATGCTGCCCCCCACTCGATTAAGGGGCTTCAATAACAGAATCTTTTTTTTTCACAGTTCTTAAGGCTGAAAAGTCTGAAATCAAGGTGCTTGCAGGTTTCATTTCTTCTGAGGTCTCTGTGCTCAGCCGGCAGATGGCATCCTTCTCATCATATTGTCACATGGTCTTCCCTCCACGCATGCCTGTACCCTAATCTCTTCTCATATGGGTACCACTGACGTCTGTATAAGTGCCCACCCTAAAGACCTCATTTTAACTTAATTACCCCTTTAAAGGCTTTATCTCATGTCTTAGTCCCTTTGCATTTCCCATAAACGACAGAAGTTTCTCTCTCACAGTGCCGGAGGCTGGGACGTCCAAGATCAAGGCGCTGGCACCTTTAGCATCTAGTGAGCACTCTGGTTCATAGATAGCGTCTTCCCCCGTATCCTCACGTGGTAGATGGAGCGCAAGTTTTCTCTGGGGCCTCTTGAAAGGGCATTAGAAATGCATCGTGGGGTTTCCACCCTCATAACCTAATCACTTTCCAAGGGCCCCACCCCTAATACCATCACCTTGAACGTGAGGACTTCAACATTCGAATTTGAAGAAACACAATTCAGGCCGGGCGCGGTGGCTCAAGCCTGTAATCCCAGCTCTCTGGGAGGCCGAGGCGGGCGGATTGCTCGAGGTCAGGAGTACGTAACCAGCCTGAACAAGAGCGAGACCACGTCTCTACCATAAATAGAAAGAAATTAATTGGCCAACTAATACATATAGAAAAGATTAGCCAGGCATTTTGGCGCATGCCTGCAGTCCCAGCTACTTGGGAGGCTGAGGCAGGAGGATCGCTTGAGCCCAGGAGTGGGAGGTTGCTGTGAGCGAGGCTGACGCCACTCTAGCCTGGGCAACAAAGCAAGACTCTGTCTCAAAAAAAAAAAAAAAAGAAAGAAAGAAAGAAACACAATTCAGTTCTTCACAGATATGCAATGGCATTTTCTTGTGGTTTTAAGGTGCAATTCATGTGGTACCTGCCATTGCTATCTTTTCTTTGGTGAATTGTCTGTTCAAATCTTCTGCTGATTTTTGTTTTATTTGGGACAGGGTCTCGTTATGTTGAGCTGCAGGCTGGGCATGAACTCCTGGACCCAAGCGATCCTCCCGCCTCGGCCTCCAGAGTAGCTGGGACTACAGGCACACGCCATCATACCTGGCTTCTTCTGCCCAGTTTTCTATGAATTTATTATTATTATCAAAGGTTTTCTTTTTACAGCTTCACTGAGCTATAACACACAAGGAACTGCACATTTTTTAAATGTACAATTTGAGAAGTTCCGGTGCGTGTATAGACCCATGAAATCGGCACCACAGTCAGGATCATCAATAGATCCATCACCCAGTTTTCTCATGCTTCTTCGAAATTCCTTCTGCCTTCCCCAGCCCGGCTCCCTTTCTCAAAGCACCCACTGATCAGATTTCTGTTGCTACAAATTAGTTTGCCTTTTCTAGAATTTTTAATTCTTATTTTTTTTTGAGACAGAGTCTCACTCTGTTGCCCTGGGTAGAGTGCAGGGGTGTGATCACAGCTCACTGCAGCCTCCAACTCCTGGGCTCAAGCCATCCTCCTGCCTCAGCCTCCCGAGTAGCCGGGACTGCAGGGCACTGACACTGGCTAATTTTTCTATTTTCCGTAGAGACAGGGTCTCGCTCTTGCTCAGGCTGGATTCAAACTCCTGATCTCAAGCGATCCTCCCACCTTGGCCTCCCAGAGTGCTAGGATTACAGGCATGAGCCACCGTGCCCGGCCTTCTAGAACGTTATATAAATGGACTCATACAGCATACATTCTTTGTTCTATGGCTTTTTTCACCCTTCATGATGCACTTGAGGCTCATTCATGTTGTTGCATGTTCACCCCTTTCTATTGCTAGGCACTGTGACAGTGTAGGAATGGGGCGCGGGTGTTCACTCATTCACTTTTTTTATTTTTTTGAGACAGGTTCTCACTCTGTCACCTGGGCTAGAGTGCAGCGGCGTCATCATAGCTCACCAGAACCTCAAACTCCTGGGCTCAAGCGATCCTCACGCCTCAGCCTCCTGATGAGCTGGGACTACAGGTGTGCACTGCTGCGTCCAGCTAATTGTTCTGCTTTTAGTAGAGATGCGGGTCTTGATTTTGCTCAGGTGGGTCTGGAACTCCTGACCTCAAGCGATCCTCCCACCTTGGCCTCCCAAAGCGCTGAGGTTACAGGTGTGAGCCACCGTGCCCGGCCTTATTATTGGGTTTTGAGAACTCTCTCAGTATTCCGGACACGGCCCCTTCATCAGACGTGTGATTGGCAAAGATTTTTCTCCCAGCCGTGGTTCGTCTTTCATTCTCTTAACAGGGTCTTGCACGGGACTCTCTGGTGCAAATTCCAACCGCCCCAACTCCTCCTGCCACTTGCACTTGACGGACAGTGATAAGCATCACCTCCCCCCACCTTTTTCCCAAGGAGCAAACAGTCTCAGGGAGGGGAGGAGCCACTCAGCCTGTTGGTGGCAGAGCAGGGATTCGAACCCAGGCCTGCTTGACCTCAAATCCCGCAGACCTCACCCACTGCCGCTATCTCTGCCAGCGATCGGGGGCTGCCACCACCATCGTGCCTTTGGAACCCCCCGAGCATGTCCGAGGACACAGACCCCGCAGTGTCTGTATTTTGTGATGCCAAAAGCCTAAGAATGAGTAAGACAAGCCGTGAGGGATCAGTCACAGCAGATTTATTGGCTGACGCCTCACGCCAAGCTTTGACGGACATGCAAGAGGATGAGATTGGGGGCCTTACCCCCTCAGGACCCACCCGGCCCCCAGGCATGCCTGGAACAAGGCACTTTCTCAACAGCTGGGCAACACCTGGGACCCCAACCTCACCTGAGACTGGCCACGCCCACCGCATCCACCCTTCTCGGATGTCCTGGTGACCAAGGCTGAGATGAGGGTGGCCAGGAGGGACCCTTCAGCCATCCTCCCCCTCACTCACCCCAAAGCGAGTTCCCGGCCTGCCCAGCGGCAGCACAAGGCTCAGTACAGAGTAGGCAGGTATCAGTGTGTTTGCTGAATGACTGAACGAGCAACAGTGGACTTCCAACACGAGGCAGGACTACTACTTTCAGGTCCCAGCGTGAGCGCATGGAGCCCCTTGGTGAAGCTGGATCTTGGAAACCTGCCCAGCCGGCTGCATGTCTTTGGTTTAAGGGCAGCCTGAAGGCAACGGATCAGAATAAGCCTCATGCACACTGTGCTCGCTCCAGCCTGCCCCAGCTGTGTCTACCGAGGGCTTCCTTTGTGCTGGGTGACTTGAGAGGTTCTCTGATCCACAGGCACAAACGATCCAATGTGCAAAGCCAAGTTCGATGGTAATTCACAACCGTCCTGGCCTCCCCTCCCGACCGCACGGCGTCTATGAATGGGTAAAGCCTTTCCACGTCCAGCCTCACGCAGCCCTTCCACATGGAGCAGAGCCACGGGCCTCTGCTACACGGGTGGGGAACGGGAAGGTCAGAGCAGGGAGGTCACCTGCCCAGGGACGCCCTGCCGGAGCGGGAACTTTCTGGGCACGGGAGAAAGTCTAGCCACGGCGGGTGAGAAGAGGCTTGACGATCACAGCCCCGGCCTCACCGCAGGTACTTCGGAAATGTCCATCAGATGAAGGAGTCTCGACGTGGCCTGAGAGTCTTTCGGAGTCAGGGCGCAAGTGTAGAAGAGGAAAAATAGAACCGAGAATCTAACGGCTGGGGTTTCTGGCTGGACCTGCTGCTGGGATTCCACCGGCTGCCCCCCGCCCCCCAAAGGCTGTGACTGTGGGGGCCTGGGAGAGAGAGCGGGACCCTCCGTTAACCCCACATCAGCCCTGGTGGGTGGGAGGATGGCTGCAACTCACAGATGGGGGCAGCCAGGCCAGGAAAGGGCAGATCCGAGCCCAGGACACCTCTCGGTTCAGAGGGTCCTGGGTCGGGGTCCTCTCCCCGGTGCCCCTCAGGCCAGCCCCTAATCCGCCTTCTTGGTTTTCTTCTTCCTGGAGCCCTCGCTCAGCTCCTCCTTGGACTTGGCGGGCACGGCTGAATGCTGGGCGCCCGGCCCACCTCCGCCGTGGGAACCGCCGTGGGACCCTCCGTGGTTGTCATGGTGATGGTCACCCCCCCAGGCCGCCCCAAACAGCACGGGGCAGATGTAGGCCTCTAGGGCATCAAAAGGGGAGCTGTGAGAGTGAGTGGCCGTCAGGAACACCTGAGGTGGGGGGACAGCAAGAGAGCAGGAGGGAAACCGAGGCAGGAAGCAAAGCAGGTGGGGGAAGGGAGATAAGAAGGAGAGAACGTCAGGGAAGCCCAGCCTTCTGGCTGCATGTACCCCCAGGAGGACGACCGGCCACCCCAGGTTCCCCAGGTCACGAGACTCCTGGTGTTGAAGCCTGGAGGGTCTCTGGCATAGTGGGACTGGCGGTCACCCTCCCGCTATGAACCCCCCCAACACACCTGGGCTCAGAGGGGAGCTGTGCCGAGTGCTGTGGTCTGAACGCCTGGTTCTCCGGGAACTCACATATGGAAACCTAACCACCAAGGGGATGGTACTAGGTGAGGCCTTTGTGGGCTGGTTAGGTCATGAGGGTGGAGCCCTTGGGCATGGAATTCGTGCCCTTACCAAAGGGGCCTGGGGGAGCCAGCCAGTCCCTTCCGCCACGTGGGGACACGGCGAGACGTCAGCAGTCGGCAACTAGGAAGAAGGCCCTGCCCGGCACCCGGCCACACTGGCACCCCGATTTTGGACTTCCCGGCCCCCAGAACCGCAAGAAATAAATGTCTGTTGTTTACAAGCTGCCCAGTCTGCAGTATTCTGTGAGAGCAGCCTGAGCAGATTCAGACACTGGGCCTGGGCTTGAACTGCAGTCAGGTGGAGCAGGACCCAGCCGTCCCCGCCCCTCTTGCTTCTCCCCTAATGCTGGGGGGCTTGTGATGGCTGCTTTTTTTTTTTTTTTTTTTTTGAGACAGAGTCTCACTCTGTCACCCTGAGTAGAGTGCCGTGGCGTTAGCCTAGCTCACAGCAACCTCAAACTCCTGGGCTCAAGCCATCCTCCTGCCTCAGCCTCCCGAGTAGCTGGGACTACAGGCATGCGCCACCACGCCCGGCTAATTTTTCTATTTTCATAGTAGTAGAGATGGGTCTCGCTCTTGCTCAGGCTGGTCTTGAACTCCTGGACCCCAGTGGTACTCCCACCTTGGCCTCCCAGAGTGCTAGGATTAGAGGTGTGAGCCACCGCACCTGGCCAACATCACTGGCTTTTAACAGCTCTAGAATCCCCACCCAGGGAAGACACAGCCCCGAGCTGGGGCCTGCATGCTGAGGGGAGCCAGCAACAGAGCTCCCCAGCTCTGCCAGGGGGAGGACAGGGTGGCCTCTAAAGACCCCTCCTGGGTGGGGTGACCCCAACTCAAGGTAAGACCATCAGACGAGGACCATTCCTGGTGCACTTGAGCCCCTAGCTACCGGGGAGTGCCTTCCCAGCTTCTTGTCCCTGTCATCTCCACACTCAAAGCCCCAGGCCCACCTCAACCTGCTCACGCTGGGCCACTGGTGTAGAAGGCCTCGTCCCCACCTGCTGGACACTGTCTTTTTTTGGTTTTTTGAGACAGAGTCTCACTCTGTTGCCCAGGCTAGAGTGAGTGCCGTGGCGTCAGCCTCGCTCACAGCAACCTCAATCTCCTGGACCCAAGCGATCCTCCTGCCTCAGCCTCCCGAGTAGCTGGGACTACAGGCATGCGCCACCATGCCCGGCTCATTTTTGTATATATATATTTAGTTGGTCAATTAATTTTTCTTTCTATTTTTAGTAGAGACAGGATCTCACTCAGGCTGGTTTTGAACTCCTGACCTCCAGCGATCCACCCGCCTCGGCCTCCCAGAGTGCTAGGATTACAGGCGTCAGCTGCAGCGCCAGGCCTGGACACTGTCTTTTAAAAAGACTCCCCTGCCACGGACCTACTGCCAAGCTTCTCCTCTCTCTGGGCTGTAGTGTCCTGGCCACATAAGGCTAGGAACGTCCAGGGTCCCCGCTCCCAGCCTGAAGGTGCGGGGTGGCACCGGTGAAGGCAGGAAGGCCACAGGCAGAGAAAGGCTTACCTTGCAGGACACCATGAACATGGTGAAGATGAAGATGAGAGTGGCTTTGGACACGGGGAGCCAGCGGGTCTGCTGGAGGGTGAACAGTATGGCTCCGTACAGGCTGGCCTTGGTGGGGCTGCAGGGAGGAGCCGCCGTTATTGGGGTCACGCCATCGCTCAGGTCTTCGTTCCTCCGGCCCGGACGCACCCCCGCCCCAGCCCCAGTTCTCGAGTGTGAGGTGCAAAGATGCACGGTTGGTGTGCGTGACTGGCATCTCCCTGTGCCGTGACAGGTTAACCTGACCCAAAGACAGGTCTGGTCTTTGCCTGGCTCCTGGGACACACCCTCGAAGCCAGGTGTCCTCGAACTACAGCCCGCGGGCCACACGAGGGCGTTTTTTGCCCGTTTGTTTTTTTACTTCAAAATAAGATATGTGGCGTGTGCATAGGAATTTGTTCATAGTTTTTTTTTTAAACTATAGTCCGGCCCTCCAACGGTCCGAGGGACAGTGAACTGGCCCCCTGTTTAAAAAGTTTGAGGACTCCTGCTCTAAGCGTTTGGATTGTCCTGCCCGATTAAGAGTGTCGTAATTTATGATGGGGGTCTTAGGCCATGCAGCATGAACTTGACCTCTAGCGGGGCTGGAGACTAAAGTCGGCCCATGTCTAGGCGATGGAGCTTCCATAAAAACCCTGCACCTCGAGGCTCAGGGGAGCGTCCCTGATTGGAAACACACCATGCGTCTTGCCACACACTGCTGCTGGCAGACTTAAGTGCTGTCCTTGTGACTCCACTGGGAAAAGATCATCGGACTTTCTCACCCGGTCTCTCAGGGACCCGGCCACACACACCTTTTATCTCTGCCGATTCTAATCTGTATTTTGCTATAATAAACCACAGCCCTGAGTGTAGCGGCTTTGCTGAGCTCTGTGCGTCCTTCCAGCAAATCATGGGACCTCAAGGTGGCCTTGGGAATGGCCCCTCAATCAGCTCGCTCCCCCCGAAAACGGGATTCCAACACACAGAGCTCTCCTTCACTTTCCTTTTTTTTTCCCTTGTGGAATAGGTGTACCGTTTCCACTTGTTGCGGAAGACAGACCCGTGACTTCTCTTCCTGACGCCTGCTGCTCATTGCACGTATTTAGTGAAAGTAATTCTACCTAATATTTCCAAAGCACTCACTAGGGCCAGGTGTGTGATTCCCATCAACTCTGCTCAGCTGATGAGGGGGAAATAGAGGCCAAGAGGGGAAGCCACTTGCCCGCTAAGTAGCCAGCAACCTGAGGGCTCTGGGCTCCCATTTCCCCAGCAGGTGAACTGAGCGTGGGAACAGACTTCTCTTGGGGCTGTGATGGGATAATGCCACATTTTCCTAAGTGTGAAACGGGGGGGAGATTTTCATTAGCACACGAGTGGGTCCTTTAATTTTGTCATGTCTTCATGGCTTGTAGCTTTACTTATTGTAGACTGGAGAAAAAAATGTAACTAGCCCAAACTTACAAAGTCTCTTAAATATGTATTAGGCCTTGATCTTGGACTTCTGATTTCAAAAACCCAAAATGTATTAGCCTAAATGCAGCTTAGGATCCTGCGTTGGGTCTTGGATGCTCTCGTGCGGCCCTGCCCGCTTAGTCCCAAATACACTCCCCGAGCTCTGTACCCCTCGCTCCCCACCCACACCCTGTACCCTGACCCTGTAGAACAAGCAGTATTGCTGCTCTTTTCTTCCTTTTTTAAAAAATTATTATTATTATTATTTTAGACGAGCGATCTTTACAAAATTGCTGCTCTTTTCTGATCCGACAGTTGGCAGAGGCACTGGCCTCTTGTCTGAAGGTTCCTTTTTAGCCCAAAAACTCCTATTCAGTCTTCAAAACCCCAATCAAGTGGTCACCTCCTCCCTGCAGCTCTGCTTTCCCCACCCTCCCCACCCCCACCCCCACCCCTCGGGTCCTACTCTGGGCTTCCCCAGCCATAGCCTCTGGAAGCTTCTGAAAGCCTCAGAATCAGGACTGGAGGCTTCTTCAAGTTATCAGCAGTGTCCAACCCAGGGTCGGGCACCTGTACATACAGGAGGGACAGAGGAGAAGGGCGGGTGGGATACTCACAAGGACATGTGCAGGAGCTCGTTGGTCTCTGGCTTCCAGACCCCTCGGAGCAGCTGCTCAAAGTTGGACATGAGGGCGACACCAGAGCCTACAGGACAGGGTGCTTCTGAACAAGCCCGCCACCCCAGGTCCCCACCCTACCCCTGTGGTTTTCAGCACCTGCTCAGGCCTTCATTCCCTGCCTTTGTCTGTTGAGTCCTGGGCCCATTTCTTAATTATTAATCATCGTCTCTTTCTCCGTTAACTTCAGCTTTACGTATTTTAGTGCTATGTTTCCAGGTACATGTATGTTTATCATTATTACATCTTTCTGGCGGGTTGATCCTTCCATCATTATAAAATGTCCCTATTCATTTCTAGTAACATTTTTGTTTTAAAGTCTACCTTGGTCTGGCCATTAGCACAGATGAAGGGGGGGGGGGAATAAAAGGACAATTTTTAATCACGGCTTTTTTTTTTTTTTTTTTAAGATAGAGTCTCACTCTGTTGCCAGGGCTAGAGTGCCGTGGCGTCAGCCTAGCTCACGGCAACCTCAAACTCCTGGGCTCAAGTGATCCTCCTGCCTCAGCCTCCCACGTAGCTGGGACTACAGGCATGCGCCATCATGCCTGGCTCATTTTTATATACATATATTTTTTTAGCTGTCCAGCTAATTTCTATTTTTTTAGTAGAGATGGGGTCTCGCTCCGGCTGGTTTCGAACTCCTAACCTGGAGCAATCTATCCGCCTCGGCCTCCCAGAGTGCTAGGATGACAGGTGTGAGCCACCGCACCCGGCCTGAATCAGGGATCTCAACCCGGGGTCCACGGAGCCAGATAGGAAGGAGAATTACAACTTCATTTTCACATCCCTCTCCCTGAAGCCCAGCCTCCCCTTCCCCCCCGGAATGGAGGTGATGATCTCAGCAGGATTCTCAAAGCTGTCACTGCCACCAACAGAATCCACAGCCTTTTTTTTTTTTTCACTTTCCAGTTTCTGCAGATAGTTTCAAGACACTGTTTGTGCTCAATGTCACTTCAGAAGATCGACAGTCACTAGGTGCTGCTATTTTGTGCATTAAGAAAGAAGCATGAGGCTGGGTGTGGTGGCTCATGCCGGTAATCCCAGCTCTCTGAGAGGCCGAGGCGGGCGGATCGTTTGAGTTCAGGAGTTTGAAACCAACCTGAGCAAGAGCGAGACCCTGTCTCTACTATAAATAGAAAGAAATTAATTGGACAACTAATATATATAGAAAAAATTAGCCGAGCATGGTGGCGCATGCCTGTAGTCCCAGCTACTTGGGAAGCTGAGGCAGGAGGATTGCCTGAGCCCAGGAGTTGGAGGTTGCTGTGAGCGAGGCTGACGCCACCGCACTCACTCTAGCCTGGGCAACAAAGCGAGATGAAAGAAAGAAAGGAAAGGAAGGAAAGGAAGGAAAGGAAGGAAAGGAAGAAAGGAAGAAAGGAAGAAAGGAAGGAAGAAAGAAAGGAAGAAAGGAAGGAAGAAAGAAAGGAAGAAAGAAAGAAAGAAAGAAAGAAAGAAAGAAAGAAAGAAAGAAAGAAAGAAAGAAAGAAAGAAAGAAGCATGAAATTACTGTATTGCATTTTAAAAAATATTTTGATAACTCTATTTTAAAATAATGGGCTTCCCTTTGGTATCCTCTGTATTTTTGCATCTAACAACCAAAGGGTCCGTAGGCTTTGCTAGGCTGAGAGAAGCGCCTTGTGCACAGAGGTTCAGAGCCCTTGTAGTTGGAGCTCCAGGAAAGAGGTGCTCACCTGGAACAACGCAGCCCTCCAGGGGGCATTTGGAAACATCCGGAGACATTTCTGGTTGTGGCAGCTGGGGACAAGGGTGCTACTGGCATCTGGTGGGTGGAGGCCAGGGGTGCTGCTCAACACCCTACGATACACAGGACGGCCCCCACCACAGAGAATGACCCAGGCCCAAATGTCAGTAGTGCCCCAGCTGAGAACTCTTGGCGACATTGGCTTTTGTTAGTGTCATTGCCCTGTTTACCTTTGACAGTCATATTTCCAGAAGAATCTTCCTATTTACACTAAAGTGGGTTTTTTGTTTGTTAGTTAGTCTGTTTGTTTTGAGATAGTGTCTCGCTCTGTCTCCCAGGGCTAGAGTGCCGTGGCATCATCACAGCTCACTGTAGCCTCCGACTCCTGGGCTCAAGCGATCCTCCTGCCTCAGCCTCCCGAGTAGCTGGGACTACAGGCACATACCAGCACGCTTGGCTAATTTTTTCCTTTGTTTTTGTAAAGATGGGGTCCGGCTATGTTGCCCAGGCTGGTCTTGAACTCCTGGGCTCAAGTGATTTTCCTGCCTCGGCCTCCAAAAGCGCTGGGATTATAGATGTGAGCCACCACCGTGGCCGCCCCACTAAAGGCGCCTTCTAACGGGAGAGGTTTGGACACCTACTCTGGTCTTCACACCCCTGAGCCTGGAGCGACGGCTGCCCCAACTTGGGCGCCCCGTGGCCCACCAGTAGAACCGACGCTTCTCAACTGCGGGGGATCTCTCACGGTCACTGTCACTGTCCTATTTACCTTTGACCCACCCTGTGGCGATCATGACGAACCAGCCGTGGTGGTAGTGGTGATGTGCGTGGTGGATGCCCACGGCGATCTTGCGGACTCTCACCACCTCCTTCATGGCCACGAAGATGAGTTTGACGGGCAGGAAGCAGACACACTTATAGAAGAGATCCAGGGGACAGAAGAAAATCAAGTACCTTGGGGGGGGGGTAGAGAACGCTGAGTGTCAGGGCAGGGGCAGGCCAACAGGTGTGTGACCCTATCGGACCCTTCCCCGCCGCCCACGCTGCCCCCCAACGTGCGGGGGCCCAGATCGGAGCTGGGTGTGGAGGGCAGTGTGCTCAGGGCCACCGTGGGGGTTGTGCTGGTGCAACCCGGTCCTCCATCCTCCTGCCTCCCACCTCCCCGAGACCCTCCCGGCTCTGCTCTCCCAGGCTAGGCATTGCTCACCAGACGGCGGAGGCCAGCAAGACGCTGGAGTTGTTGCTGAAGTAGTCGATCAGGGGCTCCCCGAGGAGCAGGTCGGCCAGAATGTAACTCCCAAAACAGTGCAGCATGGCGCACAGCCAGGACGCCATGGGGTGGCGCCGGGACAGCTCGACTGCTCCTGGGAGGTACGGGAGTGCGCCCGACTGTCACCAGGGTGTGCACACCAAGGGTGTGCTTCAGCCCCACGCCTTCCGGTCTCAACCCACCCTTAATTCAGAGCCCCCACCACCACCACCACCCAAACCGGTGCAGCTGGCAGATTTCGGAGGAAGAAGCAAGACTCAGAGAGGCTGTGCATACGCCTTAGGTTGCACAGAGAAAATTCAGAGCCGAGTTAGGGCTCTTTCCTCCACACCCAGAGAAGCAGTGATGATGATGATGACTTGCCAGCTCCCATTAAGGACTCCTCAAATGCTCATCCATGGCGCCAGCCAAATGATGACTTTTATTATCGTAGGAGTCTTTTTTTTTTTGAGACAGAGTCTCACTCTGTTGCCCAGGCTAGAGTGAGTGCCGTGGCATCAGCCTAGCTCACAGCAACCTCAAACTCCTGGGCTCAAGCGATCCTCCTGCCTCGGCCTCCCGAGTAGCTGGGACTACAGGCATGAGCCGCCATGCCCGGATAATTGTTTATATATATTTTTAGTTGGCCAATTAATTTCTTTCTATTAATAGTAGAGACGGGGTCTCGCTCTTGCTCAGAGCTGGTTTTGAACTCCTGACCTTGAGCAATCCACCTGCCTGGGCCTCCCAGAGAGCTGGGATTACAGGCGTGAGCCACAGCGCCTGGCCAAAAAGATATTTTTTTAAAACTGTGGTAAAATATACATAAAATTTACCATGTTCACCATTTTTAGGTGTACAGTTCTACGGTATTAAGAACATTCACGCTGTTGTGCAACCATCACCAGTAGCCATCTCTGGAACGGTTTCATCTTCTCAAACTGAAACTCTGTCCCCGTTAAACACTAACCCCCCAGCCCCTCTCTCTCAGGCCCTGCTAACCACCGTTCTACTTTCTGTCTTTAAGACTTAGATGACTGCTGGGACTTCATGTAAGTGGAACAATCCAGCATTTGTTGTTTGGTGATTGACTCATTTCATTTAGCATTAATCTCCTCAAGGTTCATGCATTAAGATTTCATTTCATGGCTAGGCGCAGTGGCTCATGCCTATAATCCTAGCACTTTGGGAGGCTAGGAGTTCGAGACCAGCCTGAGCAAGAGCGAGACCGCCGTCTCTACTGAAAGTGAAAAATTAGCCGGGCACAGTGGCACACGCCTGTAGCCCCAGCTACTCGGGAGGCTGAGGCAGGAGGATCACTTGAGCCCAGGAGTTTGAGGCTGCAGTGACCTGATTGTGTCACTGCACTCCAGCCGCCTGCGGTAACAGAGTGAGACCTTATTTCTACTAACTAAATAAATATCAAAATAGGCCGGGCGCGGTGGCTCACGCCTGTAATCCTAGCACTCTGGGAGGCTGAGGCGGGCGGATTGCTCAAGGTCAGGAGTTCAAAACCAGCCTGAGAGAGACCCCGTCTCTACTATAAAAATAGAAAGAAATTAATTGGTCAACCTAATATATTTATATATGAAAATTAGCTGGGCATGGTGGCATGTGCCTGTAGTCCCAGCTACTCGGGAGGCTGAGGCAGCAGGATCGCTTGAGCCCAGGAGTCTGAGGTTGCTGTGAGCTAGGCTGACGCCACAGCACTCACTCTAGCCTGGACAAGAAAGTGAGACTCTGTCCCAAAAAAAAAAAAAAAAAAATCAAAATACAAAAAGATAGAGAAAATGTAGCTTGGTTCACAGTTTCTATAACTAAGGATACACACTAATAAGTGAAACTAAATTAACTCTTCTTATAAGCCCAAGGTGACACAGCACAAAAGAATGGCCTTGCGCAGTGAACAGAAATAAGGAGCTCATGCCCTAAGAAGATGGCCCAGTGCACCGGTTTCCAACTGGGCTGCACACCCCCACTGCCTGGGGGGTTTCCAAATGCTTGACACCCAGGCCCCATCCCAGAGCACCCTAGGTGGTCAGTCTGGGGTGTGTCTGGGCTTACGGGTTTTTAAAAATGCTCCTCTGTGCACGCAGCACAGTCGAGCACCAAACAAAGCAAGAGGAATGAGCCGGCGGGGGGGTCCGGATGTGCAAGAACCCACCAATATAGGTTCTGGAAGACTCTTCAAAGTGCACAGTCAAAGCAGCATTATACACAACCCACAGAAGATGGTAACGCCCCAAATGCCCACGCACAGATAGGTGGCTGAACAAAACGTGGCCCATCCACACAATGGGGTGTCACTGAGGCATGAAAAGGAACAAAGCACTGATGATACCTGCTACTGCGTAGACCAGGCGTCCTCAAACTACGGCCCACGTGGTTTTGCCCGTTTGTTTTTTGTACTTCAAAATAAGATATGTGGGCCGGGCGTGGTGGCTCACTCACGCCTGTAATCCTAGCTCTTGGGAGGCCGAGGCGGGCGGATTGCTCAAGGTCAGGAGTTCAAAACCAGCCTGAGCAAGAGCGAGACCCCGTCTCTACTATAAATAGAAAGAAATTAATTGGCCAACTGATATATATATATAAAAAATTAGCCGGGCGTGGTGGCGCATGCCTGTAGTCCCAGCTACTCGGGAGGCTGAGGCAGGAGGATCGCTTGAGCCCAGGAGTCTGAGGTTGCTGTGAGCGAGGCTGACGCCACGGCACTCACTCTAGCCTGGACAACAAAGCGAGACTCTGTCTCAAAAAAATAAAAATAAAAAATAAAAAATAAAAAAATAAGATATGTGCAGTGTGCATAGGAATTTGTTCACGGTTTTTTTTTTTTTTTTTAAACTATAGTCCGGCCCTCCAACGGTCTGAGGGGCAGTGAACTGACCCCGTGTTTAAAAAGTTCTTGAGGAACCCCTGGCGTAGACGGATCTTGAAGACATCATGCCGAGTGAAAGACGCCTGACGTAAAAGGTCACCTATGAAATGATTCCATTGATATAAAATATTCAGAATAGGGAAATCCATAGAGACAGAAAGCAGATTAGTGGCTGGCCAAGGGCTGGGGAATGAGGGGTGTGACTGCTTCATGGGTATGGGGTCACCTTCTGGGCTGATGAAAATGTTCGGAAACTTACATCTTTCATGCAGGCGGAATCTTACAACGTGTGCCTTTTGTGCCTGGCTTCTTTCACTTAGCACAATGTTTTCAGGGGCGACATTCACTTTCACTGCTGTATAGTACCCTACCATAGGAACAGATCACAATTTTTGTATCTGTCCTCTTCCATACACTACATTTCATAATCAGGAAACATGCCCAATGTAAGCTGTTTTGCAGTAAGTAACACACCCTCCCTTCTCTTTGCTACCCCTATCAGCTAACCATGTGATTTTTTTTTTTTTTTTTTTTTGAGACAGAGTCTCACTCTGTTGCCCTGGGGAAAGTGCAGTGGTGTCATGATAGCTCACAGCAACCTCAAACTCCTGGGCTCAAGCGATTCTCCTGCCACAGCCTCCCAAGTAGCTGGGACTACAGACGCGTGCCAAGACGCCTGGCTAATTCTTCTATTTTTAGTAGAGACGGGGTCTGACTCCTACTCAGGCTGGATTCGAACTCCTGACCTCAAGCAATCCTCCCACCTCGGCCTCCCAGAGTGCTAGGATTACAGACCTGAGCCACTGAACAAACTATTTTTTTCTGTGTCTCTTTCTTTTTGTCAAGTGGGAACTCTGATTCCTTCTTTGCCTAAATCTTGACAAAGTGTTACAATGAAAATTTCCCTCCTCCAGTCTCACCCTGGGAGTTATAAGGGCAAAGTGCCTCTTCTCCCTGCCCTGGAGGTTGTCCTAAATCTCAACACGGACCGAGGTCCTAGGGGTATGCAGCGAAACGCTCTCATGTCTTCTCCTAGGGGCTATTTAAAACACAGCCGGCTGAGAGTTGATCCTTTGGAGCAGCTGGTGAGTCCTGCAGGGGCCAGGTCAGGTGAGACATCCATGTTTTGCAGAAATGGATACCTCTGCATCTAAAAATAACTCCCAGGGGTTGAATTCTTTCCACGGTCTTTCTTGTGCCCTCTGGGACCAACCCAAGGGACCAAGGCTGAGGAATGGGGGCCTAGGGTTTGTGTCATTGCCCTGACAAGCAGGCTGTTGTATTTGCAGCCTGGGTGTGTCCTGAGTCTGGCTCTGCCACTCACTCTGGCATGGCCTTGGGCAAATGACTGTCCACCCTCCAGCCTCAGTTTCCTCCACCGTCAAAAGACTAGGATGAGAGTTTCCACTGTCACTGAGTTGTAATGATGATTCAATGAAATCACGCATTTTGGCCGGGCTTGGTGGCTCATGACTGTAATCCTAGCACTCTGGGAGGCCGAGGCGGGCAGATTGCTCAAGGTCAGGAGTTCAAGACCAGCCTGAGCAAGAGCGAGACCCTGTCTCTACTATAAAAATAGAAAGAAATTAATTGACCAACTAAAATATATAGAAAAAATTAGCCGGGCATGGTGGTGCATGCCTGTAGTCCCAGCTACTCGGGAGGCTGAGGCAGGAGGATCGCCTGAGCCCAGGAGTTTGAGGTTGCTGTGAGCGAGGCTGACGCCACGGCACTCACTCTAGCCTGGGCAACAGAGTGAGACTCTGTCTCAAAAAAGAAAAAGAAAGAAAGAAATCATGCATTTCCATCATCATACTTTTTTTTTTTTTTTGAAACAGGGTCTCGCTCTGTCGCCAGGCTGGGGTGCGGTAGCGTCACTATAGCTCGCTGCTGCCTCAAGCTCCCGGGCTCAGGTGATCTGCCTGCACCCAGGCAGCAAGGCGATGGCTGAGAAGCTGTCACCCTGGCTCTTCCCCTTGGTCAAACTCCTTCTTGGTTTCGCTTGCTGGGTTTGGGGACACCACCAGGAAGCCGGAGAATCTGGGTTTCAAACTGGTGCTCATTGCCACGGGTGCATTCCCCTCTTCCCCTCCCACTGGGTGAGCTTGGGCTAGTTCCTTCCCCCTCCGGGCCTCAGTCTGTTCCCCGGTACACAGGGGATGCTGTCTAGGGTGACCAACCATCCTGCTTTGCCTGGGCCCTGGGAGTTTCCTGGGATATGGGACTTGCGGCACTTGTCT